TACTCGTCTTCTGTATGTCAATCTCTTCCTTTTCAGGTCTCTCTCTTTCGCTCGTTCTCTTCTATTAATCCGTATTTAATTTTGCAGACACTGATACTATTATCGTTTCTGTGGTATAGTGGTTATCGCGTGCGCTTCACACGACAGGTCCTCGGTTCGATCCCGAGCGGATTCAATTATATATATATATATATATATATATATATATATATATATATATATATATATATATATATATATATATATATATATATATATATATCACAGACACAAACAAGCAGCCATTCGTATGTGTGTGTACGCCTATCTAGTTATCTATCCATCTATCTATCTATTGAACAATACATATTCGACTCTCTCTCTATCTATCTATCTATATATTTATTTATTTATTTATGTATATATTATATTCATATATATTTACACACACACACACACACACACACACACTATATATATATATATATATATATATATATATATATATATATATATATATATATATATATATATATATATATATATATATATATATATATATATATATATATATATATATATATATATATATATATATATATATATATATATATATATATATATATATATATATATATATATATATATATATATATATATATGTGTGTGTGTGTGTGTGTGTGTGTGTGTGTGTGTGTGTGTGTGTGTGTGTGTGTATGTATTATATATGTATTTTTTTTTTTTTTTTTTAATATCTACTTGTATATGTTTCTCTGTGTATGTGTATGTATTGGTATTCTCTGTACCAGTAGATACTTTTGTCAAAATACTTCCTAAACATCCACTCCACGCAGGGGAGTTTCTCGTGAAAAGCCTCGAAAGGCGAGAGCTTCCCACGACCCAGACGATCGCCCCGTCATCGTCTGCTGAGAAACTGAACGCGGTATTGGGTTAAATCCTGCACATCCGGTGCATTAGGGAATGGCCCGGCGATCTCTCTGGGGAATCGCGGAGGGTTTTGTGGAGGCCAATAATTTTGTAGTTTCTATTGATATGAAGTCCCTTGAGTATACATTTGCTTCTATTGTGTATTAACGATGAGGTAAAGATCACAATATTCATTAACTTATTCATATTTTTTTATAAGTTAAGTCCGAAGTGATAAAAGATAAATCCTCCAAGATAATTTTTCGATGACGCGACAAAAATGCAGGAAAAAAGTGATTATTGGCGTCAAATTCATATTTGTAAATCTACAAGGAGAAAGAAAAACTAACATTTAACAAATACGGTAATTATTTCTGAGTAGGCCTATATACTTAAGAGCAGTAACGAAACAAATTTATTCGTTAATGAATAAAGTTTAATTGTTAATTTACTTTTCTACGCATTTACTGCATTATCGTTTGTTATTTCATTTTGAACTTTCTCCGAAAATAGATTAGAAATTCAGTCACTGTATTCTTATATATTTCTGAATGCTTTTAGTTTTTATTTAACCTTTTATTTCGAAAATTTCATGCATTCACATTTTGCCTCGAGCGTCCAAGCATAGTCCGGGCACATCCATGAACTAGAAACATTCAACAGTGTAGTTTCTTAGACGTGTGTATTTTTTCTGCGTTAATTTCTATTTTGTTAGCGCCCTTTTCTTTATTAAGATCGCCATTTTTCTCTTTCTCACGGCTTTTCTTAATTCGCATTTTTATCTCATTTTAGGCGGATTTTCTACTTCCGCCTTTTCTCATTCGCTCGTTTTTTATTTTCACTTTATTTGCTGTTTTGTTGGCGTTTTCTGTACATTTTATTTCACTACTTTCTTTTTGTGGTTTACTGGATGTTCTACTTTAATTTTTTGCCATTTTCACGTTTATTTATTTATTCATTTATATATAATTATTATTATTATTTGGTTCCTCATCGATTGAAGATAGAATTTCACATATACAATTACACGATTCACTGGAACATAAATATATTTGATATAGAAAAGATATGGGTTGTTTTGACGTCCTACAATGAAATGGGGAAGAATGGAATATTTATTGACCTATCATGAGTTGCACACACATAATTACACATACACACATAAAAATACACAATAACGAAAAACTGATTGCAACCGGCGGGCGTCTTGTATTATTTGTGCCCGGGCTTTCCATGTCTTTCAGCCCGGGCGAGGTTGCAGCCAGAGGGAGCGCTTTTGGCTCCTTTTTGCAGATTCGAACTCGCGATCGCAGGTTTCGAATCTGGCGCCCTTACCCTCTCGGCCACGGTGTCGCGGGGCAATAAGAATGGGTTGGGAGGGATATTTATCCAACATATTTTTTGGGAGTGCGCGCGGGCGCACCTGATGTGTGTGTGTTAGTCTGTATGTGCGTCCATTAGGATGTGTGCTTGAATTAGTTTGCTTGTGCGTGTTTTTGTAAATATGCATGAGTGCGAGCGTGCATGCGTCAGTGCGTGTGTGTCTTTTTGCGTGTGAGTGCCTGCCTGCGCGTGAGTGCGTGTATGTATGTATGTGTGTGTGTGTGTGTGTGTGTGTGTGTGTGTGTGTGTGTGTGTGTGTGTGTGTGTGTGTGTGTGTGTGTGTGTGTGTGTGTGTGTGTGTGTGTGTGTGTGTGTGTGTGTGTGTGTGTGTGTGTGTGTGTGTACGTACGTACATGAATATATTTCCATATAGGCACACACGAACACACACACACACACACACACACACACACACACACACACACACACACACACACACACATATATATATATATATATATATATATATATATATATATATATATATATATATATATATAGAATATATATATATATATATATATATATATATATATATATATATATATATATATATATATATATATATATATATATATATGTATATGTATATATATACATATATAAATATATATATATGTGTGTGTGTGTGTGTGTGCGTGTGTGTGTGCGTGAGTGTGTGTACATATATGTAAATATATACATGTATGTATGTATACACACACATATATATATTTTGTATGTGTGTTATGTAGTATTAATCTATTAATCCATAAATATTATGATTTGCTATAGTTCTATATTTCTGTTTTGCTAGCACTTTTCACTTTCTTTTGAACTATTTTTCACATTCGCATTTTACTGCACTTTCTACTTTCACTTGTTCTCATTTTCTTTATTTCCACTTTTCTGCTGCGAAATTCATATAGATATACGTATATTTTACATAAGAAAGACATGGCTTGTTTTGACGTCCTTCACTGAAATAGGGAATAAATAATGGAATTTTGATTGACCTATCATGAGTTGCACATGGCCTACACACATAAGTAGAAAAACGTACACAGGCGCACATAAACACGTAGTAGGGGAAAACGGACTGCGACCGAGGCATCTTGGTTTTTCCATTATAATTCTCTATGATTTCATGATTATTAACGTCACTTTTCTTTCCCTTTCCTGTTTTATTATATCGCTTTTTTAGCAAATTTGAACGCATGTTCTCTCCTCACTCTCTTTCTCTTCCTCCCTCTGCTCTCTCTCTCCCCTCCCTCTCCTCTCTAGAAACTCTCTCGCTCTCTCTCTCTCTCTCTCTCTCAAAAAAAAACCTCTAAAAAGAACACAAATTGCAATAGCGCTAACTGAATGCTAATATAAAAAATTAGTGAACTAATGCTAATAAAAAGAAATAAATAGATTAATGAAAATAGAAAAAAAGACTACGGGGACGAGAGAGCACAACCACTTTTGAAATTGTGAAGCTAAAATGAGGCTTCAGTACTTTGCTCACCTGGCAGATAGATATGCAGATAGATAGAGAAATAGATAAAGGAATGAACTGATGAATAAAGAGATAAAGAGGAAAAAATGAATTATGTTATTTATTCATTATTCATTTCCTATTTCTGATTTTATGATTTTTTTCTTCTATTCTTAAAATACATTTATATATGCATTTCAGTTATATTATCATCCACGCAGTTGAAAATTCTTGGGTGACGCTATACTTCGAAAAGGGGATGAAATTAAAAGAGATTTTTTTTTTATATAAATTATGCGCTGATTAAAACAGCTTGTAACTAATTAAACAAAAGCTTTTGATGTCTATAAAGTTCTCAAACTCGTCAATCTTTACATCATGTAAAAACTTCAGCCTTTAATGACAAACGCTAATCTAATGAACGTGGAAAATTACCATAAAATGTCCGGTTATTTCTAGCGTGATTTTTGGCGGACATTTCTTCAAAATCTGTTTTAAGTATGTAGGCATATTTGCCTATCTATCTCTGCAGAATCGCAAGCAAGTGATATATATATATATATATATATATATATATATATATATATATATATATATATATATATATATATATATATATATATATATATATATATATATATATATATATATATATATATATATATATATATATATATATATATATATATATATATATATATATATATATATATATATATATATATATATATATATATATAAATATATATATATATATATATATATATATATATATATAAATATATAAATATATATATATATATATATATATATATATATATATATATATATATATATATGTGTGTGTGTGTGTGTGTGTGTGTGTGTGTGTGTGTGTGTGTGTGTGTGTATCATATACATAACTATGTACAGTTGCGGAATTATATTTCAGTACACTTGCTGGATCCCACTTTTGTACTTATGGCAACCAATCGAAGTAAACATAGCGTAAATAGTATTTTTGTGAATGAGGCTGTCATGACTGTCATATGCTTAATTTAAGCAAAACAGAAAATATCAACAAAAAATGGCATTTTAGCATGAAACATTTAAGAAAAATATTCATTAATGATATTATTTCTTTTCTGTCGACCGGCAGCATTTACAAATTGTTCTATATTTTCTTCAATATTTACACTTTCTTCCTCTCCATCATCATTACACATGTACAGATCTTCTTAATACTTAACAGCCATATTATGCAACACAGCTGCACTGCAAATAGTCGCCATGACTGTTGTTAAATTAATTTTCAATGGAATGGTGAGGTACCTGAATCTCATTTTCAGAACACCAAATGCTCTTTCAATGGTATTTCGTGCTTTGGAATGTGATATATTGCATCTGACTTCTCTTTGGCCAACAGGATTTGCCACTGGGGTGAGGAGGAATGGTAGCAGTGGATAGGCTGAGTCACCTAATAAGTGATGCCCTTCTAGCAGATCATGTTGAAGATCAAAAAATAATCTGCTATTATTAAATATTCGGCTGTCATGAACAGAACCAGGCCAACGGCACACAAAGTCAAAAATCCCTTTCTACACCTGAACTCTTCTGCTCTAGCACCTCCAGGACTATGAATATGTGTGCAGTCAACTGCACCCAATACCCCAGGAAAACCAGACATTTCAAAATAATAATTCCTGATGTTAGAAAAATGTTCTCTCGATGGTCGTTTCACATAATCTTGTAGCAGAGATGCTATGGCTCGGACTATTTTGGCTGTGCACTTGCTCACAAGTTGTTGTGAAACGTCAAAAGTGTCAGCAATAGTCAACTGGAAGCTACCAGTGGCCATCCATCGCAATGTAATTAACAGTTGTAGGCGGGGTGGTACTGGTGATCCTGAAAGGAAATACAACATATTTTAGATTTTGACGTTCAGAATAAATCACTATTCTCTAAATATAACCCTTGTTATAAAACATACATATTTAGAACATTTTAATAACTACATCAGCAGATAATTATTTATTTACAAAATATCAACATGGATATAGTATCATGATTACACTAAAAATGTTTTATTTATCAAAAGACATACTTAATAACTTCTTACTTATCTATGTATTTGTGTTAATATTTAGAAATTTCATTTGGATTTTCTAAAAAAAAAAAAACTTACAACTGCATTTATAACAATACAAGCAAACGTTATAATGCTGCTAACATAAAATAATTCAACTGGCTCAATTAAAGTCAATATTACCTCCCATCTCGAGTTTCTTGAATCTGTAGCTTGTCTAGTAAATTGAGTGCTGTTGTTTTTGATAAGCGAAATCTTTTGATGAACTCATCATGCAGAGAATGCAAAAGATTCATCCTGTCAGTGATGCACCTTCTGGGAATATCCTGTTGGTCTGCAGCATCTAGGTCTTCAAGGGCTTCAAGACACTCTAATTCATCGAATGCTGCAGACATTTCTGAAACAAATTATATTTATCAAAATCCTTGGGAGTTTTACAAGACTAATGTATTTTCACTATGGTATCTGACTTTGAAATGAGAGCTAGGTTAGAGTACTTGGAAAGGGCATAAAATGTGTTCGGAAAATAATGGGTTAGCATTATAAATACACTATTAATGACAAATTCTGCCAATATCAAGTAAATAACAATGCAATTGGTTAAAATGCTCATCACATTCGTGTATTGTCAAGCGATGGTCATGGCCTCCACTAATAACAAGCTAACCAAAACGTATTTTCTAGGAAAACTGTGCTTTTCGATTTTTCTGATAATTTAATAAACAATTAACAACTATTCAAACAAATATGATGTCCATTAACTTTGTAATGTTTGAGTTGCGGTTGAAGTTCATAGAAGATGTTTCTTAGAATCACTCGCTCTATCGTTTGCATATATTATTTTTCGTCTAAAAGGCGGCTGTATGAAACTGGACCTGCACCAGTAAAACCTCTCAAAGTGTTGATTAAATGGCCAATGCCAAGACGAGTTTGGTACCACCTCATATCTTCACTGAGGAGCAGAGTTATTTACTTTAAATGCGCAAAACACGTTCACTCACTTTTTAAAATCTTTCATGATATGGTAACAATAGCTGTCAACAGTTTTCTTACCTGATATGTTTGTTTATTTTGGGATGACAGTTACGTTCTCGATGCTTTCCACAGCTGCGCCTGTCTAGAAATCAACAAAATATGGTTTAATAATGTTAAAAGTGGGAAAATTATAAAAATCACATTCTCTTATACAATCAGTATCGAAATAAATGGTAAATGTTTATGATAGGATCGCACCCGTCAGAGACGAAGTCCCCGACTCCGCCAACAAGGTTGGGGGATCCCGTGGGGAGTCGGGTGTTTGGGGGGGGGGTGATTTCGTTCATACAAATGCATTTTAAAAAGCAAAAGAATGTGGGAAATTGAAAATCTGAGCCAAAGATAGTATTTGAGATGACAAAGAAAGTGAAAAATGTAGGAATCCGAGAGAAGATTCGGCCACGGATGATTCGATACCATGTTGCGCGAGCGAACGATCGAGTGAACCGTAGCTTAAACGCACGAGCGACCAGTAGGATCGCCGTATGAACCCAAAAATCTTCCTAACCCGGGAGCTACGCCCCGGACCCCTCCCGATTGCCATATTTCCCTATCGGGAGCTCAGCCCCCGGACCCCTTCCCGATTACCGTTTTTTCCCTACCGGGGGCTTCGCCCCCGGACCCCCTCCCGATTATCTAGCTTCCCTACCGGTGCCTCTATATCGCCACTGACTACACTTGAAATACAAAATGAATTTACCTTAAAGTTGGGGGGACGGTGGTTGGGAAGTGACGAACCGCAGACGAAATTCTACAGCTGGAACACAGTTATTGTATTTCACTGAGTTTCGTGTTATCCCCGATATTGTAACGATTTCAGTGTGAGATCGATTTCACCGCAAAGTTGGAAAAAAATCGGAAACGCTAGTAGCACTGTAAACAACCTTCACCTTTGAAACAAACGAGAACTGTAACAACAGAACTGTCAAATTTGCCGGGAGAGGGCAGCGATACGCAAGTATGGATAAACCATGTATTTCTAATGAAACTATGGTGCATATATGGTAAAATCGTTCACATCGTGTATTTAAGGAATGAACATTTGATAAATGCGTTTTTCGTTAAAATTTCACATAAATTAAAATACAGAAATACATTTTACTACAGTGCATTTATAAGAAATTTGTCGTGACGTCACTAGCTACATGCGCCAAAACAGTTCCTGTTGGGTTCCCGCGCAGCTAAGTGGTTCGCTGCGACGCGAGGGGGTTGGACTTTGTCGCTGGAGGCTCATTCTGCGCGCCAACTTTTCCTCATTTAACTCGAAGAGGTTCGCTTCTGCAAATCAATTTTGATAGCAATGCATGTAGTTTTTCATCGCCTACAACGTTATGATCTTCAATTTTCTCCTAGTCCGTGCGGTCCTATCGTAAACCTTAACCAAATAAATAACACGTAAATTTTTAGTTGTTATAAGTTAATTAAAATTCATTCAGTTTAACTTTATTGAGAAATATTTACGAAAGTGGCGATGAAAGAGAGGGGTATAGCTGGCTTTCATAGTCGGGCGATGTTCCAATACTTTTTCTCCCGCTAAAGCCTGGCGAAGCTGAAAGTGGTGTTTTGTGGTACGAAAATTCGACCCTTTAGCTGCTGGCAACGCATTGCCTGACTTTTTTTTTTTTTTTTTATAGTACGGCCTTTAAACACAAGGCTTTTTTTGAAGGTGAGGGGTTGTTTATATATATCGTATAAGTTTGTTGCTTCTTTGTTTATTCATCTATTTTCCTCTGTTCGTCCCGCAAGTTTGTATAAAGGTGATACTGGAAGCTTTCTCGGATTAGGTTATTTTTCCCCTATGTGTTTTATAACGACTATGACTGTTATGACGATAAACAAATGCCACTAATACTACAACTAATGATAAAAAAATATATATATGTAGCGATGGTGATGATGTTGATACTGACAAGGAAATCACAAAGTTGATCATGATAATGATCGTGAAAAAACAAAAGTAAAAACGAAGATAATATAATGATAAGAAATTATAATGTTAAGAAATTATATAATGGTTTTAGACTATCTATCTGTTGTTACAATGGCAATAAAAGTTATCAAATCAACAATGATATAGAATATACATATATTATTGATAACAATGATACTGAATCCTGCCTCTCCCTCATTCTCTCTCATACTTTTATCCGTTGACTTTGAATATTTTTTACCTTGAGTTTAAAAGATTTTAATTCTTGTGTGACATAAGACAGTGGAAGATAAGCATCGTGAAAACGTAATCAACTAAGTAACCAACATATCAAATGGAGGCTAAAATTTCCAACAAATGTAACACAGTAAGAATTTATACAAATAGATTTTAACTATGGTTTTAACATAAGAAAAAGATGGAGAGAGGGTGAGAGACAGAAAAAGGGAGAAAGAGAGAGAATGGGTGTGGAGACTTGGAAAGAAAAATAGATTCAGAGAAAGAGGGGATTGGATAGAGAAACACGCCCAAACACTGATTCATTTTGCTGAAAAGGACACAATGGTATTGGAAATAAAAGTGTACGCGTATCTATTCCCAAAGGAAACAATAAAATTTAGTCCATATAAGTTCCCTCTTCAACACTGTAACACATTTATCGTAAGCAAAGAGGGAGAGGCACATACACACATGTAGACACAGAGAGAGCTGGAGAAAAAGAGAGGAGTAGAGAGAGAGAGAGGAGAGGGGCGGGAACAAGAGGCGCCAGGCAGAGAAAGATACGGAAACGGATAAAGAAACCGAGAAAATGAGATATACGTATATTTATAAATAGAGAGAGAAAGTTGGAGAGTTTGAAAAGCTGACTTCATTTTTCTCTGAAAGAAAATGATAATAACCAAAATGTTTCTCAACAATGGAAATATAATATGGTCTACGTACACAAAAACAAACAAACAAAAGTACAGGAAAAAAAAAACATTAATACAGCAACTGCAAGGGAATTAGACACGAATGATAGACCGCATTTTTTTCTTGTATACATATGTCTTTTTAGAGAAAAGTTTTGTGAATAAAAATCATGTTGAATTGAAAGCTGTAGCAATGTGTTATTGTGACGATATGGAATAGGTATAATACTATGACCATACGAAAGCCTTGCAGGAGAAACAGGAAGTCAATTATAAAAGAAGTAGCAGTAGTGAAGCTAATATTTATAATAATAATAATTATTGTAATAACAAAAATGACAGTAAGAATAATGATGACAATAATGAAAAAATTGATAAAAAATGATACCAACAAAAATAAAAATAAAGATAATAAAAACAATGATGATAATATTGATAATGATAAAACTCATAATAATAATAATTATTATTATAATATTATGGATAATAACAATAATGGTCTTCATGATAATGAAAACGCTTATAATAACAGTGATAATTATATCATAGCGATGATGATAATAAAAAACAACAATAATGGGAATGAAAACATAGATGATGGTGGTAAGAGTATTATGATAAAAATGAAAGTAACAACACAACTGTCGTATATAACATAAAGGAGAAAGATGAGAATAGAAAATAACGATAATAATGTATTTTTGCCAGTGTATATAAAAAATAGTGTTCTGTCTTCCATGATAATGATAATGACAGTAAAAATAGATATAATGATAATGGAGGTAATGATGATTCAATAATTATGACAATAATGATAACGAAGATAATTGAATGTTTTATAAATATACTAATGATAACTGTAATGTTCTTAATTAATAACGAAATTAATGATAGTGGTGATAATCACGATAATGGTCAAAGAAATAGAAATGATGACGATAATAAAGTTGATCACTTCGATTACCTCAATCATGTATGTCCACACGATTTTACCTTTAGTTGTTATAGCTCTGAACATTATGAACATTATTTTCGTGAAGATAACAATAAAAGTACAAGAATTACAATGCGCCTTTGGGGAGGGGGGGGGAGCGGGAGGATTTATGACACGAACAATGAAAAAAAAAGTTTTATTCACAGATCACTGAATATGTCGGTGGAAATCAAATTTGGTTTCAAACAATTTGTAATGCAAGTTTAATATCATTATCATTAGCGTAAATGCTCACTTCTTGCAGCCTTTACAGCCTCCGATGACAGCAATGCGATTTCTTATTCTGTTCAAATGCAGTTGTTACGGAAACATTCTTCTTGATCGCCTAAGGCAACGAGCGAGGATTCGGAAAAGGCTTGTTTATCTTTCCTTTTCTTGTTTCAGCTTGTTATTACAGGGATGTTGATCATTCTCTCTTTCTCTTGATCGATGCCTGTCTTTGTCTCTCTTGTCCATCCGTCTGTCTGTCTGTCTGTCTCTGTATTCGTATCTGTGTTTGTATCTGCCTCCCTTTC